GTTCCAAGCAAGAATGAGGCAAGAGAAGTTCTTCCTGAGGGGAGTTCATGGCCCTAGCCAGGCAGGCAGGAAGAGCTGGGGTCTGCGTGGCTCCAGAGTCTGCTCCTTCTTCCTCTTGATGCATAGAAGGCCTGTCTGGCATAGGCAGAGCTGGCACAGTGACAGAACATCCAGGAACAGTAAACTGTCAAGGGTAGCATCATGGGGTCATTCAAGAGGAACGAGGAGCTGCAGATGCAAAACTCCCCACTTGCCTCTGCCAGGACCCAACAATGGATGCCTCTGTGCCCTTAATAAAATGAAGTCATCACAGAGCCGTTTTCCCCAATTATGCATTCCTCATAACCATGGGACAATCATGTTGAAGATTTTTTTTTTCATTACTAGCAACTGAAGAGCTTTTTTTTTTTTTAACTCTAAGAATGTATGTTTGGGGGAGGTGTTACAGCAGAATAAATGGTTTTAAATTATTGCTGTCACTCATCAATCTCCTTAATGAGCATATTGTGCAGGCCCATGAAAATAATTTCTTAGTCTTTTCATTGGGCTTGTGAGCTCCAGGTGTCTGAGATACTTAGGTCTTTCTCCCCGTCCACCCAGCACATAGAACATAGTAGATGCTCAGTAAATATATATGTGTATTGAATGAGTGAGGCTAGAGGGAACGCTGTGAATCTTGGGCGCACACACACACACACACACACACACCACTCGTTTATGTCTACCTGGGTTATGGATTCAGAAGTCCATTTTACTGTTAAAGCACCCTTCATCTTAGAAAGAACCAAGTATGGGTTTTGCCCCACCTCAGGTCCTCAGCCCCTCCCACTGCCTTTCTGTGGCAGTACTTAGCTCTCAGCTCCACCCACACTTGAGTTCTGCCCTGCCCTAGAATTCCTGCCAGGATAGCTAACCACTCCCACTCTCCTCCCAGACCTACCTGGGCCTGGGCATGTGCACGCAGAGTACAGAGCATGTACCACCTCTAGCCCCAGAATGAGCACCTGGATAGGGGCAGACGCCATATTGCTTCCTCTCCTCGGGGAGATATGGCCCCTCTAATAAATCTTATAAACCTTCTTCTGTGCATGCCTGCCTCCCCACAGTCCTCTGGAATGGCTGGGATGGACACTAACACCAAGGACAAGCTGTCTACATACACAGTAGAGTAGAGGCCTTGGATCCTCTACTGTGGTGGGGGTAAGCACCCACTAAGTAAGCCACTAGCTACCATAATGCCTATGGGAAACCATACATTTTACTCTCATCAGCACTAAGCCTGGGTCTTTGGGATATTAGCAGAGGGTAGCAAGTATGAAGGACAGTTTGTAAGTCTTGCAGTAGGCCAGACTAAGCTGCCATCTCATTTCTGTGTGACCTTGGGCTATGGGTGCCCCTCTCTGACCCTTCCTCCTTCCTGCACCATACCAATAAACTTCACTTATAGGGGATTATGGATTTGAAAGGAGACCATCAATGGCAGTGGCTGCCCAGTGATGGCGGATTTTATGGAAGCTATCAGCTTGCAGAGAGCTGCTGACTTTGAGAACAGTCTTATCAGGATCTTCCAGGCTGTGAGCCAAAGGTCCCCGTCTTCCAGGCCTTTTCTGCTTTTTAGTAGGTAGTAATATAGCCAGAAAACCCTTGTCTCTTCCTTGTTTTCAAACTGGAAATTCTGCTCTTCACTCCCCACTGCTACAACAGGACTGGGGAGACTGTAGGAAGGGCACCTACTTCTACTGGGGATGTGTAAGGTCTCACTGCATTGCTGATCTCAAACTCCTCCTGTGATTCTTCCACCTCAGCCTCCTGAGTAGCTGTGACTGCAGGCATGTGCTTTGGAATGTGAACCTGAATACTTTGAGAAGGGCAAGGCTTTAGAAAACCTCTGGCCTTAGCCTTCCAAAGCCTACATAAGAGCCTTTTCATCTAGTAGGTAAACTCATGCCCTTTGGGCCTCAGTTTCCTACTCATAAAATGGGATGATAATGACAACCTATGCCCTCCCTATCCATCAACCACCTTGGTGCTTGAAATATAACAGATGCTCAGTATTTGTTGAATGACTATTGGATAGGAGAGAGCTTTACAAAAGTGTTACTGTTAATGGGCCTCTTTAGACAGTAGAGAAAGGAAAAAAAAACAAACTGTCCTTCTGGAATAGGCATGAGCCAGCTGTTCTTACCCTCTGTCAGTGCCTGATTTAGGTATATTGAATGAAATCTGGCCCTTGGCATCTCTGTTGGGGTAGGAGAGCAAGCAGAGAACGGGACAGGCAGACCCCAGGGCTAGGGATCCCATGCCGGCTAGATTCTGTGACTGGCTGGCTTCCCAAATCCCTTCCCCTGAATGGGCCTCATTCTCCCAGCTGTGCAGCAAGAGGCCTATGTGGTGTCTGTGGTCCTTTCTCATTCTGATACATTCTAGGATTTGCAATGCCTAATTTTTCACAAACTGCTTATCAGAGGTTGTGGGGAGGGAACTCCTGCATTCCAAAACCACCACATAGTCTATAGAGTACTTTCAAATTCTTTCTGTTTTTATTTTTTTTTTTCTTTCTGTTTTTAATGGCAACCCTGGAATGGGGCCAGGGCAAGGTTGATGTGCCCATTTTATAGCCTGCAAAACTGAGAGCAAGAGGTATCCTCAGGAACTGTCACTGGAGGCTGCAACACACATTTGGTTATACAGGTAGACCCAGTTGTTCTTAAATGTGAGCACACAGAAATCACCTGGGATAGGTGTAAGAGGTGCTTGTTAAAATGCATATTCCTGGGCATTTAGAGATTCTAAATGGGAAGGGCTGGAGTGGCCCCAAAGTAAACAAATGCCCAAGTGATTCTGAAGCCAGGGGCCTAAGGACCGTGGTGAACGGTGGTCTCTTTGGTGCATCCTAGGCTCAGCTGTTGCTGAACCAGTCAGTTTGGAGAGGCATTACTAGTTGGGAAGGCAGGTGGAAAAGAGGTGTAGTCAGTAGGACAGAGGCAGAACTGTTGTATACACTCTGTGTGTGTGTGTGTGTGTGTGTGTGTGTGTGTGTGTGTGTGTGTGTGAGCCAGTACTAGGGCTTGAATGCAGGGACTGAGCACAATCTTTTAGCTTTTTCATTCAAGGCTAATGCTCTATCACTTGAGCCACAACTCCTCCTCTGGTTTTTTGATGGTTAATTAGAGATAGAAAATTTCATGGGCCAAGTGTTGGTAGCTCAGACCTGTAATCCTAGCTATTCAGGAGGTTGAGATCTGAGGATGACAGTTCAAAGCCAGCACAGGCTGGAAAGTCTGTGAGATTCTTATTGCCAATTAACCACCAGAAAAAAAAAAAAACAAAACAAAAAAACCAGAAATGGAGCTGTAGCTCAAAGTGGTAGACCATTAGCCTTGAGCAAAAAAAGCTCAGGGAAGTCGGGCGCTGGTGGCTCACGCCTGTAATCCTAGCTACTCAGGAGGCTGAGATCTGAGGATTGCGGTTCAAAGCCAGCCCGGGCAGGAAAGACTGTGAGACTCCTATCTCCAATAAACCACCAGAAAACCGGAAGTGGCGCTGTAGCTCAAGTTGTAGAGCGCTCGCCTTGAGCTGAAGAGCTAAGGGACAGCGCCCAGGCCCAGAGTTCAAGCCCCATGACCGACAAAAAAAAAAAAAAAAAAAAAAGCTCAGGGACAGCACCTAGGCCCTGAGTTCAAGCCCCATGACTACTACCAACAACAACAACAAAAATCATAGACTTTCCTGCCTGGACTGGCATTAAACAATCCTCAGATCTCAGCTTCCTGAGTAGCTAGGATTATAAGTATGAGCCTGTCTGGGCCTGCTTGCTTGCCCTCCCTGCTTCCCTCCCTCCCTTCCTCTCTCCCCCCCCCCTTGCTTGCTTGCTTGCTTGCTTCCTTCCTTCCTCCCTTCCTTCCTTCCTTCCTCCCTTCTTTTCTTCTTCGCCAGTCCTGGGGCTTGTAGACTTTTATTAAATTATACTTCTGTCTTCCATGCTGGCATACGGCCTAACACAGAGAAGACCGTATTAGTTAGATAGACTGACCTGAGCAAGGAGGAATGCTGATGATATCGCTGATTCTCAGGATTAAATGCATTTTCATGTTCTGTACTGTCACCTCCACCCTTTGTAAGATCTAACATGGAGTTAAACTGCATCATTATTGTAAACATCTGTTACCTCTGTGTTCCCCTCCTCCTCTGTACTAGACTGTGAATTCCTTATGGCCACGAGTCAAGGTCTGAACTGAGGATCACGTTCAAGAACGTTCTTAAGAGTGAGTGAATGAATGAGCTCAAGCAGGCATTGGGACTGTGCCTGCCTGGTCATCAAAGGGTTTTCAGCCAAGATGAGGCGAATTGGAAAGTGTCAGCCTGTGTCCTGCCAGATATCCCTCTCCGTTTTCTGGCAGCCCCCTTTAGGTTTGGGCTAAAGGGACAAGGCGGGGCACAGGGTGTAAATGGCACCAGTCTAAGTTGAGGATGGAAGATATATCTGGTGGGGGCTGGGACCTAGGAAGTGGGCCTGAACACCCAAAAAAAAGAGGGGGTAGCTTATGAAAATCAGAGCTGAGGATGTATGGGTGCTATAGGTTGTGGATTTGGGGGACAGGGGATCATGTGTGGCTAGTATACCGTAGACATGCAGAACCGAGGGCTAAATCTCAATATTCCCCGGCAGGGTTCAGCAGGATGGGCGTGGCCTGTCGGGGACGGGGCCCGGATCCCCACGCCTTCTTCCAGGGCGGTCCAGCCCCGGGGTGATGCGAGTGAGCGCGCCTGGCACCGCCCCCACAAAGCCAGAGCGCGCCCCGCCCCGCGCCGCCACCCGGTCCCGCCCTCCGCCGCCGGGCCGGCGCGCTGAGGCCAATGGGCGCTGTCGCCGCCGACTGCGTCATAGCCCAGACAGCCAATAGAGACAGCTCTCGGCGGCTCGTGGCTCTTTCGCGGCAAAAAGGATTTGGCGCGTAAAAGTGGCCCGGACTTTGCAGGCTGCGGCGGCCGGGGGCGGAGCGGGATCGAGCCCTGGCCAGGACCTGCAGCCATGGGCCCGCGCCGCCGCCGCCGCCTGCCACCTGAGCCGCGCGGGCCGTGAGCACCATGGCTGTGGCCGGGGCCCCCGCGGGAGGCCCGTGCGCGCCGGCACTGGAGGCCCTGCTCGGGGCCGGCGCGCTGCGGCTGCTCGACTCCTCGCAGATCGTCATCATCTCCACAGCGCAGGACGCCAGCGCCCCGCCGGCCCTCGCCGGCCCCGCTGCGCCCGCCGCCGGCCCCTGTGACCCCGACCTGCTGCTCTTCGCCACGCCGCAGGCGCCCCGGCCCGCACCCAGCGCGCCGCGCCCCGCTCTCGGCCGCCCGCCGGTACGGACCCCAGGGACACCATGCCGACTGCGCCCCCTGAGTCCCCGCGCAGATCCGGGCAGGCGCAGGGTTGGGCCCAGAGGCGGCGGGGGAGGGGAGGACTGAGGCGCCCGCGCGGGGCGGTGCACAGCCTGGGCTGGGCCTCCGGGCTCCGCCCCGAAGTGCGGGTGACCGCGGGCCGGTCCCTGTTTGGCTGTCTGTGCTCTGGGCCTCCACTTCTCGCCAAAGCCGCTCGAGCGCCGGACTCATTGATAATAATGGTCCACGTGTATTCAGCTGGTGCTTACTGCATGCCAAGGCCTTTGGCAAGCTTCAAGCCAGCCCAAGCGCTGCTGTGAGCTTCGGGTTGTCACGTGCCCATCTGCGGGAGGGAGGAACTGAGGCCTGACGGGGAAGTGATTTGCCCCTTGACCAGTCGCACCAGCTGCAGGTGGTGGGGCTGATATTTGAACTCCTGTCGGCTGGCTTGCGATCACCATTTGCAGTTGGGTATTAGGTGCGGCTTTTGGGGAGATGAAGGAGGAAATGTTGGGGAACCACTGAGACCCTCCTTCCTGCCCCTATTTTGGTTGGCCAGGTGCAGGCCGGGCCCCAGGCCTCTGGGGAAGAGGCCTCCCAATAGGGAGGCCTTCTCTGCAGGGGCGGGGCGCTGGGCCAGCTGCTGGTCCCCTCCCTTTGCCTGCCCTTCCATCTGCCACCTTCCCAGCCCCTGGTTGCCATGGATCCTCATTAATCAGGCACACAGACCCCTGATCCTCTGTTGAGGGCTGGGTGGGCCTGGCTGTGGGTGCTAGAGAGGAGGCCCCTAATGCCAGGACAGAAAACACCATCTCAGGGAAATCCCCGCATTTTGTGGTCCCTTCTTCCTGAGCAATAAGGACCCCAAGGTCAGTTCAGACTGGTGGGCCAGGGGAGGCAGCTGGGCTACAGTGGGAGGAGAGAGTGGAGGTCTGAACTTGGACCTTTAGGCTGGAGGGCTGGAACAGCCCAGGCAGGACAGAGCCTCTGTAGGAGGCTTGAAGCAAGCAGGCTGGGCCATGCCAGGCTGGGCCTTGGACCTTGACCGCAGAAGCTGCTTAACTACTGATGGGGATGTGGGTAGCAGCTGGTCCCTGAGGCATCCTGAGAAGGCCTCCCACCCCTTTGGCATAGTGCCCAGTGCTGCCTTCCTTCCGGAATCACCAAGATGCTAATAATAATAACAATAGCAGCCCCCACTGTTTTGAAGATGTTTTGTGTGCCAGGCTCTATGGCAAGCACTTTATCCAGTTAACTCATTTGACCCTGTCATCAGCCTTCGCTTTTTATAGATAGGGAAACTGAGGCCCAGAGCTGATTGAATTTTCCCTACTCATTTTTCCCTACTCATTTTGCAAGACCAAGCTGAATTTCCTGGGTGTTGACCTAGAGAAGCTAATTAATGGAGGGACCTGGAGAAGCTAATGGAGGTTGGAGAAAGCCCAGGAAGGTCTCTGAACCTCGTGTCAGGGGCGGGTCTCCTGTATACTCCAAGAACTTGTTGTTGCAGAGACTAGCATGAGTCTGAACAGGTATACTCTATTCATGACATGGCTGCACTTAGGACCCATGTAGGTCCTGTCCTAAGCCTTCAGCACTGGGAGGAAGAGAAAAACCTATCCACGGCAAGTGCTGTTCCAGGGCCAACACCTTATTAGCATAAGGAATCCATTTATTTAATCGTTGAGTTATTGAGGGCCCCTTACCTTTGTATTTAAGGACCAATAGGCACTTTTCTGTAGGTATGCAGGGAGGGGCTGGCACATCCTAGAACTGAAGGCCAGAAATGCAGGCCCAGCTTTTGCTTTCTGCTTTGGCATTTCTGTGGGGGAAGCCCTTGAAATAAGCTACAGGTTTGGCTTCTGCCCCAGGGTTCATTTATTGATAGTTCCTCCTGTATACAGAGTTCTGTGCAATTTAGGCATTTCTTCTGGCCCTGCCTGTCTACCTTCAACCTTTTTAGGTGGACATTAGAAAATGACAACAAAAGCTCAGCCAGGTGCTGATAACTCACACCTGTAATCCTAGCTACTCAGAAGGCTGAGATCAGAGAATCATGGTTTGAAGCCAGCCCAGACAGGAAAATCTGTGAGACTTTTACCTCCAGTTAGCCACCCAAAAACCAAAAGTAGAGTTGTGGCTCAGGAGAGCAGTAGCCTTAATCAAAAAGCTTAGGGATGGGGCTGGGGAGGTGGCTCAGTGGTAGAGCGCTTGCCTTTCATGCATGAGGCCGTGGGTTCGATTCCTCAGCACCACATAAGCAAAAGGAAAAAAGCTAGAAGTGGTGCTGTGGCTCAAGTGGTAGAGCCCTAGCCTTGAGCTGAAGAGCTGAGGGACAGCGCCCAGGCCCAGAGTTTAGGCCCCACGACCGGACTCCCCCCCCCCCCAAAAAAAAAAAAAAAAAGCTTAGGGATGAGCCGGCTATCAGTGGCTTAAGCCTGTAATTCTAGCTACTCAGGAGTCTGAGATCTGAGGATCCCTGTTGAAAGCCAGCCTGGGCAGAAAAGTCTTGAGATTCTTACTCCCAATTAACCACCAGAAAACCGGAAGTGGCGATGTGGCTTAACTGGTAGAGTGCTAGCCTTGAGCTGAAGAGCTGAGGAACAGCACCCAGGCCCAGAGTTCAAGCCCCAAGACTGACCAGAAACCAAAACAAAACAAAAAATGCCCAAAACAGTCAGGCTTGTTGGCTGGTAGACAACTCTGTTCTCAGCGCTCCATCTACAGCCAGAGGATCAGGAGTTCAAGGCCAGCCCTTGGGCTACATAGCAAGACCCTGTCTCAGGAAATCAAACCAAAATGAAAAGTCTCTAAAGTTTTTCATTATGCATATAATTGTATTAAGACAGTATTAAGAAACTGGAAAGCTGGGCTCTGGTGGCTCGTTCTTTTTAATCCTTGCTACTCAGGAGGCTGAGATTTGAGCATCACTGTTCAAAGCCAGCCCAGGCAGCAAAGGCCTGAGAATATTAAAACTGGAAGTAGTGCTGTGGCTCAAAGTGGTAGAGCTCTAGCCTTGAGCAAAAGAGCTCAAGGACAGCACCCAGGCCCCTAAGTTCAAGCCCCACAACTGACCAAAAAAAAAAAGTAGAAAGCAGGGAGCCAGTGGCTTATGTCTGTAATTCTAACTACTCAGGCGGCTGAGATCTGGAGAATCTTGGTTTGAAGCCAGACTAGACTTCATGAGATGTCTGTGACTCTTCCAAACGACTAACAAAGACCATGTTGGAGGTATGGCTCAAGTGGTAGAGCACTTAGTCTAGCATGTGTAAGGCCCTTAGTTTGATCCTCAGCACTATCCAAAACCAGGTTGAAAGGGGCAGTATCCTAGCGCTCTCTCGCTCTCTCTCTCTTTCTCTCCTTATTTTCTTTCTCTGGATGTTTTTTCAGTTGTAGAGACATTTTTAAAAATAAATTTATAGCTGGACTCTGGTGGCTCTCATCTGTAATCCTAGCTACTCAGGAGGCTGAGATCTAAGGATCACGGTTCAAAGCCAGCTGAGACAGGAAAGTCCAGGAGACTTTTTTTGGGGGGGGTCTGGTCGTGGGGCCTGAACTCTGGGTCTGGGCGCTGTCCCTCAGCTCTTCAGCTCAAGGCGAGCACTCTACCACTTGAGCCATAGCACCACTTTCGGTGTTTTTCTTTTTGCTTATGTGGTGCTGAGGAATCGAACCCAGGGCCTCAGGCATGCAAGGCAAATGCTCTACCACTGAGCCACCTTCCCAGCTCCTCCAGGAGACTTTTTTTTTTTTCAGGAGACTCTTATCTCCAGTTATTTTAAATTTTATTTTGTGCTGATACTGGAGCTTGAACTCAGGGCTTCACACTCACTTATCTAGCTGCTCAAGGCTGGTGTTCTACCACTGGAGCTGCATCTCCACTTCCGGCTTTTTTCTGGTTAATTGGAGATAAGAGTCTTTCAGAAACTAGACACCCAGTTGCCCACACCTGTAATCCTCACAGTTTGAAGCCACTGAGGACAGGAAAGCCCATGAGACTCTTGTTTCCAGTTATCAAGCAAAAGGTCTCTCAGACTGCCTGGGTTGACTTTGAACCTTGTTCCTTATTTCAGGTGTGAGCCACTGCTATCCAGCTTTCTAATTTTTAAATTGTAGATGTTCCTTTATGCCCATATTCAAACAGTGCACCATTCTCATTGCTCAGGTAAGGCAGTCTCCTGTGGTCTCCCATATAGAATTTGCCCCTATATTCCATAACAACCAACCAGGGAAAAGTTGATGAGATTTGTAATCGTGGAAGGGACCATGTATATCTTTTGCTCTGTCAGGTTTTCCTTGTTGGGCCTGTCTTTTAAGAGAACCATGGCCTGCATTATTGCTTTTCTGAATAGAATCCTAGAGCCTAAAAAAGCCAAGGTCTTTGTGAACACTTTGTCAGATTGGTGATTGAATCATTCGGATTTCTCCATCAGTGAATGTCTTCACAAGGCTTTCAGGGTTCCATGCTTGGGTTTAAAAGTGGTGACAGCTGGGCGCCAGTGGCTCACTTGCTATTGACTAGAAACTTGATCTGGGGACACAGCTGGGTGGCACAATACATAAGGTAAAAAACAAAAGGGCTGGGAAGGTGGCTCAGTGGTAGAGCGCTTGCCTTGCATGCATGAGGCCCTGGGTTCAATTCCTCAGCACCACATAAGCAGAAAAAAAAAGCCAGAAGTGGCACTGTGGCTCAAGTGGTAGAGTGCTAGCCTTGAGCTGAAGAGCTGAGGGACTGCGCCCAGGCCCAGAGTTAAGGCCCACGACTGGACCCAAAAACAAACAAAACCAGCTTCGAGGCTGGGAAGGTGGCTCAGTGGTAGAGTGCTTGCTTTGCATGCCTGAGGCCCTGGGTTCAATTCCTCAGCACCACATAAGCAAAAAAAAAAGAAAAACGCCGGAAGTGGCGCTGTGGCTCAAGTGGTAGAGCGCTAGCCTTGAGCTGAAGAGCTGAGGGACAGCGCCCAGGCCCAGAGTTCAGGGCCCACGACTAGATTCCGCCCCCTGCCCCCCCCCAAAAAAAACAAAACAAAACAAAACAGCGTCCAATGAAGTGCTGGTGGAGCTAGGACTTGAACTTAGGTATTCTGCCTTCCACTTGAGTAGCCTGTGTGTGTGTTAAAGCTATGACCCCTAGAATCTCTCTACCTCACTAACACTTTCCTTTGTTGATCGTATGGCTTGAACTCTGGGTCTGGGTGCTCTCCTTTTGCTGTTTTGCTCAAGTCTGGTGCTCTGCCACTTGAGTTATAACTCAACTTCTAGCTTTTTGGTGATTAATTGGAGATGAGAGTCATGGACTTTCCTATCAGAGTAGTGGTTCTCAGATCTCAGCTTTATGGTAATTACAAGCAAGAGCCACTGCCATCTAGCTTTATTCACACATTTTGTGTGAATCTAAGTAGAGAAACTGAGGCAGAAGTGGTACAGGAATACTGAGCCCTCAGCCACATCTCTTGGCCTCCCTTCCGGTTACTGGCATCCTCCATGGTTTCTGCTGCAGGTAAAACGGAGGCTGGACCTGGAAACTGACCATCAGTACCTGGCTGAGAGCAGTGGGCCAGTTCGGGGCAGAGGCCGCCACCCAGGAAGAGGTACCCATAGAACTCAGACTGACCAGGCCCAGATTGGGGGTGTGGACAGCAAGCATACTTGCAGATTAAACTAGCTGCTGAAGCTTGGCCTGAACCAGGCCTCTGGGAGGCCTAGCAGGCAACTGGATTGGTTGCTCGGCAGGTTCTGGATGGGGAGTTCCCTGGCCAGAAGAGGAATGCTATGGTTGGCAGGGCCACCCTGCTGAGCTAGCCAAGGGGAAGGAACCACCTGTTCCCCACCCCATCCTGCTACTCTGTAGCCAGGGAGGCAGGCTTGCATAGGAGTAGAATGAATGCTGAGGGGCCTTGCCTCGCCCCATCCCTCCTTGACAGGTGTCAAGTCCCCCGGGGAGAAGTCCCGCTATGAGACATCACTGAATCTGACCACCAAACGCTTCCTGGAGCTGCTGAGCCGCTCGGCTGATGGTGTCGTAGATCTGAACTGGGCAGCTGAGGTGCTGAAGGTGCAGAAGCGGCGCATCTACGACATCACCAATGTCCTCGAGGGCATCCAGCTCATTGCCAAGAAGTCCAAGAACCATATTCAGTGGCTGTAGGTACCGCCAAGGCGGGGGGTTAGGCAACAGCCATGGCAGGCAGAAATGCCTGGTTGTGCCAGCCTGAGCCTCTGTCTTATCTCCTGGGAGGGGAGAGGGCGTCCCTGGGGTGGCAGTGTGGAGAAGTACAAGTCTATACAAGTCCTGGGTGGCAGTGTGGAGAAGTACAAGTCTCCCTGCGGTTGTATATCTTCACCTGGGTAACCACCACCTGGCCAAGATGAAGAATACTTCCAGCCTCTTAGAAGATTCCACTGTCCCCTTCCCTGGTCATTACGCATCCTCCTTCTACCACGTGACCACAATTCTGTCTCCTGCTATCCATGAGATTTGTCTGGCATACATTTTATTTTTGTTATTCTTGATTTATTTTTTCCCTTCACACTTCTTCCCACGCATCCTGCTACCCTCTCTGACACATCTATCTGCCTTTTCGGGTTTTGATAGGTCATTCTGTATTGTTTTTCTTTTCACTTAATAACATATCTAGGAAATAACTACATCAGCTGTCATATTGCATGGTGTGTCTGTACTATCATTTACTTACCTAATCCCTACTAGGCACATATAGGTACATGTTGACAGTCAGACCAGACTTTCAGCCCTATGGCTGTCTAACTTAGAGCCTGATTCATGAGCCAGAGAGGCTTGCCTGGGCCTCACAAAGAACTTCAGCAGCAGACTGTGTCCTGAGGGCCAGGGCTGATGGGCAGCAGGGCCAGGAGCTGCTAACCCTCCCAGGTGCCTCCCCACAGAGGCAGCGATGCCATGATGGGGATCAGTGGGCGGCTTGAAGGGCTGACCCAGGACCTTCAGCAACTGCAAGAGAGCGAGCAGCAGCTGGATCACCTGATGCACATCTGTACCACCCAGCTACAGCTGCTTTCTGAGGACTCTGACAACCAGCGATATCCTTGGATTGGCCAGTGGGCGTGGAGGGCAGGCCTGGCAGGTGGCTGCCCCATCCTAGTGAGATGGGAGAGGTTATCCTGGGCTTTGGACTGTGAATTCTGTCTTTGGATGCAAGTCGTAGCCTAGCATTTACTTACCACATGACCTTGGGCAATAGTTTAACATTTTGGAGGCCTCAGCTTCATCAAAAGGAAATAGCTAGGTGCTGGTGGCATACCCCTGTAATCCTACCTACTCAGGAGGTTGAGATCTGAGTATCATGGTTTGAAGCCAGCCGAGGCAGGAAAGTCCGGAAGTGGCATTGTGGCTCAAGTGGTAGAGTGCTAGTCTTGAGCATAGAAGCTCAGGGATAGTGCCAAGGCCCGAAGTTCAAGCCCCAGGGTGGGGGGGTGGGGGGGAGAGATGGGGATAGTCTGTCAGAAGCTCATGCCTAGCCAGGCACCAGTGGCTCACGCCTGTAATCCTAGCTACTCAGGAAGCTGAGATCTGAGGATCATGGTTCAAAGCCAGCCTGGGCAGGAAGGTCCATGAAACTCTTATCTCCAATAAACCACCAGAAAACCAGAGGAAGGTCCATGAAACTCTTATCTCCAATAAACCACCAGAAAACCAGAAGTGGTGCTGTAGCTCAAGTGGTAGAGTGCTCTCCTTGAGCTGAAGAGCTGATGGACAGCACTCATGCCCAGAGTTCAAGCCCCACCGGAAAAAAAAAAAAAGAAGCTCATGCCTGTAATTGTAGCTGCTCAAGGTTCAAGGTTAGCCCAGACATAAGGTTGCTAAGTTTTTGTCTTCTGCAAAAAGCAGGGCTAGGGGAATGGTTTAAGTGGTAGAACTGCAGCCTAACAAGTTCAAGGCCCTGAGTTCAACTGCTGACTAGAAGAGGTGTGGGGCAGGGGGAGTAGTAATATCCACTTCCAGAACTGTACAGATTGTAAAGGTAGCTGGATGATGCGTGTCTGTATACCAGCATATGGAAGCTGGAGGTAAGAGGATCACCAGTTCTAGGTTAGCCTGGGTTGCATAATTAGATATTGTCAGAAAAACAAAAATGACTCAAAAGAAAGGGAAGAAAGGCTAGTATCAACTATGACGAGTATTCACATAATAGAGTGATGTAGTGCATTATTGTAGCTTTAAAGTTAAGACAGTTTTGTTTTTCTTTTTTTTCTTTTTTTTGTGTGTGTGGGCGGGTCCAGTCGTGGGGCCTGGGTGCTGTCCCTCAGCTCTTCAGCTCAAGGCTAGCACTCTACCACTTGAGCCACAGCGCCACTTCCGGCTTTTTTCTTTTTGCTTATGTGATGCTGAGGAATCGAACCCAGGGCCTCATGCATGCAAGGCAAGCGCTCTACCACTGAGCCACCTTCCCAGCCCCAACAGTTTTGTTTTTCATTTATAAGCTTTGGGTACAACCATCAATTGGCACCAAGATCATAGGCCAAGATAGATTTCAAACTCTAGGTCTGGAGTTCTGTTAAGCTTATCTTGTATGCACTCCTGCAGCAGATATATCCTTACTAGCTTGGCATTCGCTGGGTGGATGGTCCTGTGGCACAGGTGTGCAGTAGAAGCTAATAATAAGATCTTGATCACCAAGGATGAGCCAGACTCTGGAGTGAGAAGTCTATGGAAAACAAATGACTCTGGCTAAGGGACCTACCTTGTTGGCTGTCTGGGTCCTTGGCCCCTTAGAGGCCAAAGGTCATGTGATCCTTGACTCCACCCACCCTAGCCTATGTGACCTGCCAGGACCTTCGTAGTATTGCAGACCCTGCGGAGCAGATGGTGATGGTGATCAAGGCCCCTCCAGAGACCCAGCTTCAAGCTGTGGACTCTTCAGAGGTGAGACCAAGGATTCCAGACCTGACCAGGACAGACTGGGTTGGGATGGTGGTCACTTAGGCCTCAGTTTACCCTGCCTGCTGCCTCCACCCAGACCTTTCAGATCTCCCTTAAGAGCAAACAAGGCCCCATCGATGTTTTCCTGTGTCCTGAGGAGAGTTCAGGGGGGATCAGCCCTGGGAAGACCCCTTCCCAGGAAGCATCTTCTGGGGAGGAGAAGACAGCTGACCCTGTCACCACAGTGCCACCACCAACATCTCCCCCCTCATCCCCCACCATGGATCCCAACCAGTCCCCGCTTAGCCTGGAGCAAGGTAGGTGAAAGAAGAGTGGAGGTTGTCCTAAGTAGTCCAGCAGGATTGGCAGCCCCCTCTTTCCTCCCCGCTGGACCATTCCAGGCCTGAGGTGCTCTCCTGTCTCCCCAGAGCCCCTGCTGTCACGGATGGGTGGCCTCCGGGCCACTGTGGATGAGGACCGCCTGTCCCCCCTGGTGGCTGCTGACTCACTGCTGGAACACATGCGGGAAGACTTCTCCAGCGGGCTCCTTCCTGAGGAATTCATCAGCCTCTCCCCGCCGCACGAGGCCCTTGATTACCACTTTGGCTTGGAGGAGGATGAGGGCATCAGAGACCTCTTTGATTGTGACTTTGGGGACCTGACCCCCTTGGATTTCTGATGGGGGCTTTGGGTCCAAGGGTCTCTTGAGATGCTCACCCTACATCTGCAGCCCTGGAGCCCTACCTCTAGGCCATCCTTCTGGCCCTATTAGAAAATTATAATTTATACCCTCTCTCCTTTCTCCAGCAGCTTCTAGCCCTGGGGTCTGGCTGCAGCTGGTTGAGCAGGCCAGGAAAGGAAGGATTGTGTGTGTAGTGTGTGTATATATATGTACCTGACACCCTGCTTGTGTGTAATGTGGGGTGAGTAGTGTGTGAGCATGTGTGCGCGTGCTCCTGTACCCGGGAATGAAGGTGAACATACTTGAGCTTGTATTGAAGACATGCCCTGGTGTGTCCACGTGTGGTCTGTGTGTGTTGTGTGTGTGTGTGAATGGATCCATGTGTGTGCATGAGGGGGCTCTAACTGCACTTTTGATCGCTGTGCTCCAGGGGCCCAATGTGGCCCAGATGGCTCCCTGTTCCCAGAATCCTGTGCTTTGACCAGGCCAGGTGGGAGGCCTTGGCTTGCTAGGCTTGCAGGGCAGCCAGAGCACTTCTTGTCTTAAAGGTTTTCTGATCAAAGCTTTAATGGAGCATTATTTATTTATCGAGGTCTCTTTGGCAAGCCTGAGGAGTGAGCAAGGGTGGGATGGGTGTGGGGCTGATACCCCAACTCCCTATACCCCTGTGCAAGGGCAAGGATCTTCCAGCTGTTCTTTGCCCTACCCTGAGGGAGCTGAGGCCTGAGCGGTTTATTTATTGGGAAAGGGAGGGAGGGAGACAGACTGTGGGTGGGTGGATGGAGGGAGGGATGGTCCCTTTTCCAGGGAGGGGTCACTTCAGGTCCCTAGCTGCATGCACCTCATGAGTATGAGAAGGGAGAGGTGAATGGGGACCTTCACTGACAGGGTGGGCTGGAGGGGTGTGTGAAGGGCTCACTACCCTGGACCCAGGGGTCCCTCCTGTGGTATTTGAAGCCCCCTCCCCCTATTGCTCTGACCCACCCTCCAATCTGCACTTTGATTTGTTTCCTAACAGCTCTGTTCCCTCCTGCTTTGGTTTTAATAAATATTTTGATGATGCTTGGGCTGGGTTCTAGGACTCTACTCCATATAACTCTGGGGGTGAGAAAAGCCAAGATTCCTGTTGAAAATCCGATTCTCCATGCCTGACTAAATTGCCTTTGGGTCTCATAACCCCCCAAAAGGAGAGTGTTGTCACTGTTTTCTCCTAACTTAAAAAAGTATTTTAGCTGGGCTCTGGTGGCTCATGTCTGTAATTCTAGCCACTCAGTAGGCTGAGTGATCTGAGGATCACAGTTTGAAGTCAGCCCAGACAGACTGATACAACCAGCACGAAAGCCATAAGTGGAAGCGTGGCTCAAAGGGTAGAGAGCTAGCTGTAAGTGAAAAGTTGAGCAAGAGCTTGGACACAAAAATATGTTTATTGTAGAATGAGTGCCATACACAGAAGTGCAAAGAGTAGGTAAGCCACACTCCTTTCACCAGAGGCCACTGCTGCTCAGTTTGCTGTGCTCCTTGCCAGGTATCTCCAGGCTTCAGTAAAATACAAGCATGTTTGTACCTTGATACTTTCCAGTCTTGGGATGCATGTCCCCTCCCCTAATGGGCCTGTCAATCTGACTGAAGAAATTTGTGCAAATGAGGCAATCAGCTTCCTGGAAGATCAGTGCTGGTCCCAGAACAGTACAGTAGGGTTGTCTGAAGTAGGGAAAGAATACCCAGTAGGAGGGCTGGGAATGTGGCTTAGTGGTAGAATGCTCACCTAGCATGTATGAAGCCCTGGGTTCAATTCCTCAGTGCCACATGAACAGAAAAAGCCGGAAGTGGCGCTGTAGCTCAAATGGTAGAGTGCTAACTTAGAGCAAAAGCAGCTCAGGGACAGGCCCAGAGTTCAAGCCCTAGGATTGGCAAATGTATAACCTTAGGCAGAGTGGAACAAGAAATGAGTGTGGCTGGTAGACTGTCAGCGTTAGATGTTATTCTGAAACAAGGCATCCTCAATTTCATTGATTCTGTATTTAAGCCTCTGGCTGCTGTGCTGAGTATGGGCTGCAGGGAGGGCCAGGATGGCAAGAGAAAGATGGCTGGGCTGAGCTTGCAAGTGCCAAAGAGGGCGGTCCTGAGAACCCGGGGCCATTCCCCTGTCAGCCGCTTCCGCTCAGTGAGTCTCCAGGCCTTTGGGGGCGTCCACTATTACCCCCATTTGATAGATGAGCATGCGGCAGCCGAGGTGCTGGAGCTTTGTGGGTTTCGTCCGCTTTGGGCCGCGGTTTGCTGTTGCAGTTGGCTTTGTTGGCGGGTCTGGCGCCCCACCTCTGGTGGGTGCTCGTAGCCCTGGGTTCTGCTCCGAGCTGGCTGGCTGTCATTTGCTCCACGAGATGCGGGCAGCTGGAAGGGGCGTGGCCGGCGGGCGGGCGGAGGGGGCGGGGCCAACGATCCGGCCAATGGACACGCGCCCCGCCCCCAGCCCGAGTCCCCCCGGGTCCGGCGGAGAGAGTCCAGCGGGGTGCAGCCGGCCAGCGGACCAGCCTCGCATCCCTCGGAGCGGGCAGCGGCGCCATGGCGTGCGCGGGACTGCTCGCCGTGTGCCTGCTCCGTCCGCCCGCGCCCGAGCCCCCACGGCCCCCCACCCTCCTACCCGCACCGGTCTCCGGGCCTGGCGGACACGCGCTCTTCCAGGACGTGAGTGGGGCAGGCGGGCGGGCGGGCGAGGGGCTCTCCAGGTGTCCATCTTGGGTCCCGCGGGGCTGTCTGTCTGTCCCCGCCCCTGCCTCCGTATTTCCTGGCTCGATCTCTGTCTCTTGGCCCTGCCTCTGCCTCTGGGTCTCTGTCTCCCGCGCATCTGTCTGCCTGCGCTGCTTCTGTGTTGCGTTCCCATCCTGGCTCTGCCTGTCCTGTGTCAGCTCCGGGTCTCTGCCCCCCTCCCCTCCAGCCCCCCCTCATCCACGAGTCCTGTGCTGGAGGGGGCTGTCAACACAACCACAGCAACAGTGGCCACCATGCTCTGTGGCCAGGCGGGGCTGGCGGTGATGGGGGGGGGGGGCGGCTGGACACATCAGGTGCCCTCTCCTGGCCCCGAGCTTCCCACGGTCACCCTCTGTGGTCTGGGACACTCCATGGGCAGCAAGTGTCCCAGCAGCCCCCTCATGGGACTGTAGGAGAGGCTGGCTGGCCTCAGTCACTGCCCCCTCTGTCCTTTATCTCTGTGCTCAGCTGCCCTGGCTTCCTCCCGCCTGCGCCCCAGGTGCCCACCAAGCCCGCTCAGCTGTCTGCCCCCCCCACTGTCTCAGTGACTCAGCAGCTTGACCACTGCCATCCAGGCCAGAAGGGACCTGACCCTCATGCCCCAATAGGAGAAAACCAAGGCCTAAGGGGTTTGTCCCAGGGCACACCTGGAGTCAGGGGCACAGTAGGGTGTGGCCCTTAGTTGTCCCCATTCCCAGCCTGGTGCCCCGGTTCCTTCTCAGCCGGTATCTCCATCTACTCCACCTACGCTATACAGTACTGCTGTGTGATTCCAAGCAGTATCTGACCTTCTCTGAGTCAGGCTGGATGTTAGATCTTTTCTTTAGCCGCACTGATTCTGAGGGTGATAGCCCTCAAAGGAGCTTGGTACTCAGGAGTTGGAGCTATGAAGGCTCTCTATACAGGTTTGGCTTGGCCTATGCCTCCCTGTCACGCCTGCTGACTGCTCTTTGCTGGGCTGCTTTGGAGGACCTGGGGAGTCTCTGGTCTCTGGCAGAGGCAGAGATCTGTACAAAGAACAAGTTGCCTGTCATCTCCACCTCTGTGAAACAAAACAAAACAAAACAAAAAACCGTTGCCCTTGCCTTATACCTCTCTCCCTCCCTCTTACACATATCTGCCCACCGCCCTCACACTGAATTGGCCTCATTAAAAATCCGTAGCTCTGAAAGGGTTAAACCCCAGGTGGCTCCTCCGTGGCTAGTGGGAACAGTGAGGCACCCGTGTCAGCATCTTCAACAGACACAAGGGGATAATAAAAGTGGGAGGAGGCTGAGAGGGACTGGATGGCCACACAGCAGAGTTGGGGTTCATGTCTGGGACAGGTGCCCAGGATCTTTGAGCCGCATCTTGGCCTATCTCCCCAACTTTCCATAGGCTGGGATCGTGCCAAGGGCTGATGCATTAGATAGCTCAACACTTGGGCTCAGCTCCAGCTGTGGGAGGCAGGGGTGTAGGAGCTGGCCTGGAGCACCCCTAGGAGGCCAGCCCTGCAGGAGAAGAGAGCAAGCAGCAGGCTCCCCGTGTGTGCTTCCTGTGCTGCCTCCACCCCTCGCCCATAGCAGGAGAAGTTCCTGCGGGGCTGAGCTGGAGGCAGTGTGCAGCAGAGGACAGGCAGGCCACCTGGGGCTCTGTTGGTGGGTGGGGGGCCTGCTTCCTCCCAGCCCTCACTCTCCAGCTCCACTCATGCTCCTTTGTCCTCCAGGTTTTCCGCAGGGCAGACAAGAATGGTGAGTATGGTCTTCCTGAAGTCCCACAGTATGTGTGCTGGAGGGGAGGGGTAGGCTGATGAACATCAGAGAGGCCCTAGGGAATATTAAGGGTACACATAGTCTATTTATGGAGACAAATCTTGGGGCTGGAAACAGGAAATTAACAAAAGCATCCTTTCCCTAGAACGAGATCAAGGGAATATGGTTGGGCCAGAGGCTAGAGGTAGGGGCTTCACTTGCTGCACACAGTGTCCTGGCGCAGTAGTGGGAACATGACCTCATATGTGCCTTACCACAGCCAACTGGAATAGAATTTCACTGCATTTCACAAAGGAGGAAAGGCACAGAGAAGGGAAGCAAGTTGCCTGAGCTCACATGGCCTTGAATCGGTGGTGTTAGGCTCCCTGGGGGAGGTACTCTTCCACTGGGGAGGATGGGATAGTGGAAGAAAAGCCTGATTTTTACAGGACTTCTCACTTTCTAAAGCTGGGAGGGCTTGGAGGGCACAGTTAACTCTAGCCCTTGAGCAAGGCTAAAGCTGGACCCTGTGTACCAGGAGTCTGAGATCCTGCTCCAGGAAGAGCCCAAGGAGACCCAGCATGCAACAGGTTGCTGTTTCTAGAGGACTCAGCAGCTTGCTGTGCCCATTGGCCCGTGGAGCATCTGAGCCGAAGCAGCCACTCAACCTTGAGCTCACCTTTCTCTGGGTCCGCACGCCCTCTTGTGTTTCTTTTTCTTTTTTTTTTGCCAGTTGTGGGGCTTGAACTCATGGCCTGGGCTCTGTCCCCAATTTATTTGCTCAAAGCTAGCACTCTACCACTTTAAGCCACAGCCTCACTGTTGGCCGTTTTGTTTTGTTTTGTTTTTGGTTGGTTATGGTTATGAACTCTGGACCAGGGCACTGTCCCTCAGCTCTTCAGCTCAAGGCTAGTGCTCTACCACTTTGAGCCACAGCACCACTTCCGGTTTTCTCATGATTAATTGGAAATGAGAGTCTCACATACTTTCCTTCCCAGGCTGGCTTTGAACTGTGATTCTCAGATCTCAGCCTCCAGAGTAGCTAGGATTACAGGCATGAGCCAATGATGTCTGGTTTGT